TACCACATATAGAAATATTTTGATATTTGCAACGATAGTAAAACAAAAATGTATATCTTTGATATTTATTTATATATTTAAATGCCATTTAACAAAGAAAAATCAACCAAAAAAATGAGTTCGCGTGTCACCTCTGACACGCATGTCATAGGTTCGCCATCACTGCTCTAGGCACTTAGGAGCTCCGTCCTCCCAAGCTCCGACTCCTTAATAAACCTATCTTGTGAAGGGGAGGGGTGCTCCATTGCTTATGAGTTGTGTGACCTTAGATAAGATCAAGCTGATCTTTGCAGAATGGACTGGCGAGGGGATAGAAGAAAGTTGCCCTTGTTGGGAGACCCATGTAGCAAGGATCTAAGGGCAGACTCTGTGAGTTGAGAGGCTGACCCTCCCAAAATCTGGCCATTGTGCTTTCTCAGATTCTCCAGTCACTCTAGCAAGGCAGAATGAGCAGAGAGGGCAAGTCAAACCTCACCAATAGCACAAAAATACCAGAATCACACACACTAGTGCAGCCAAGCCAAGTTGTTTATCATCCTCCATTACACAACATTCTTGTTCCCTGATGAATTTGTTATTATTATTACTTTAATATATTTTTATTGATTTCAGAGAAGAAGGGAGAGGGACAAATAGAAACATCAATGATGAGAGAGAATCATCAACCCGCTGCCTCCTGCATGCCCCACACTGGGGATCAAGCCCATAACCCAGGCATGTGTCTTGACCGAGAATCGAACCATGACCTCCTGGTTCATAGGGGACACTCAACCACTGAGCCACACCGGCCGAGCTCCCTGATGAATTTGAAGCTCAACTGCACAAACTGTTAAAGTAGCCTAAACCCAATCTTAAACACTAGTTACCAAAAAAATTAAAACCAGTCCCCTATGGAAATCCTTGCCAACCTTTTTATGGGAAGAAAAAACTCTTCTTTCTCTAATGCTCTGACTTAGGAGAAGAGAAGGAGACAAAGGAGAAGGAAAGTAGACTAGCCAGTATGCTGAAACTGGCTGGGTGGGTATCTGTGACCCAGAGAGGATCCCAAAAAAGACTGAGGTGACTCATTACCATCCCAACTAAAACTAATAATGACAGCATTACAATCACATAGGGTCTCCTTCCAAGAAGTTCATGATTCACTTACACATCCTCAATTCTCCCGCCACCTCCCTTCAAGGCAGAGAATGGGGGCAATAAGGAGGTGACAGGTCCTTGCCGTGAGAGCTGTTTGTCAGAGTCCATTTTCAGTGAGTCAGTCCCTGGAAGTTGGGGTCAGGCGTTGGAGGCAGGGCCATTGGCTGGTTTAGCAATTTGTCCACTATGCTGATTTTAGCATCTTGCTTCTCCATATCCTCATAGGGAGTCCAGGATAAGTCATGCTGTAGCTTGTAGGCACCAATGAAGTCATGTGGACAACTCGTTCCCCATTCCTAGAGAAGGCAAAGGAGTCAGTTCTGATTAGGATAAGATGTAAAGACATTTCATAATTATGCCACAAATTTCTTTTTTGGCTTTTCACTTCAGACCAGTCAGAATCATCCTGGAAAGCCTAACATTACACATTACGGATTCCTCCCTTTGCAGACATAATGGCTGTGAAATAATTTAAGCACATGTATGTTTTTCAGAATCATATTGTGGCTCACACCGCCTCCCATTTTCTGGGAAACCATTTACCAACCCCTATGCCTACATTTTTACACACATGCCAAGAATTTCTCAAAGACTTTTTGTGCAAAAATAAATGTTCTTACCTTTGGAGAAATAATAGAAAAATACTGCTGACCACTCTCCCGTTGATAAAGATAGTAAATGTTGCCAGGTTTTTTCACCATATTACAAGCTATATGGTGCAAGTCAGCATCTCTGCGAGCATCTTCTAATACCTAAGAACCACAGAGAGGTAACAAATTAGGTATCGGAGGTAACAGGCACTCATATTCAGTGATCATCCCAATTAAAATCTAGAAACAGTTTAATATTTATGATCTTGCTTCCTCCCCCATAAAAAAAGTCACTGCTGGGATCAGATGATTCTGCAGAGATAAAAATTAGACTATAACTTTACTGTGCTACAAAAATTCCTTTAGAAGAAATATATTTCAAAATGTTAAGCATTAGTGGCTTTGAGTGATTTTTGTATTTCTTTCCTAATTTTCTGTAGTAAGTACATTATTTTGTAACTGAAAACATATTTTCCCATCAAAATGCTTTTTCTCACTGAACTTTCTCCTAGTGAAAAAACTTAGATTATACTTAACCTCTTGGATTTACTTTATTTTGTTCAATACCCCTATATTTCTAGAAAGTACTGAAGACAAGCTACACGATCATAAGCAAGTTCAGTCAATCCTATGAACTAAATGAGGGAAATGAAGTCCTGCCTAAAAGCCATGACTTACCTTCCTGGCTTGTTCTTGCAAATGCTGGATTTGATCAGCTATCACTGTTAGCTTGTTGGTGGCATTTGCCCGGACGAATTCATCAGCCTAAAGGTGAGAAAAACTGAACTGTGGGTCAGACTTATGATGCTCTTATTTAGATCCCAATTATGAAGAGTTGCATCAACATCTTCACTTATGCCTAAAATATTTTCCCCAACCTCCCCATTCCCCCATGAATTCTCATTCACCTCAAAGCCCAGTTCAAATAGCACTGCTAATGAGAAGCCAACCCTGACACGACCCCACACCACAGAATTAAGTGCTCTTTTCTACTTCCCATAGCTTTCTACCCTTTTCACTCTGTTCTAATAACACTGAACTTCTTTGGTCCACCAACATACCCTGATCTCTCTTGCTACCAAATATACTCATTATGTATATTTGATTCCATCTAATACATCCCTCCACCCCACTAACCTTGCTTATTTCTTAGGTCTCCATTTATTTTCTCATATTTAAACATTTCTAAAATCAGGGCTGGGTTTTCAATGAAAATCCAGACATGTATGATATGGCTCTTATCACCTGTTATATAAGAATCTAGCTAAATACAGAGAGTATCTGTTCATCTGATCAATACCTCAATTGAACTTATATTTACATTCATAATTGTTATTTAAAATGTCTGTGGTGTAGACCTGAAACAAAGTTACAATGTACACATAAGACCGCCTGTCATGTGCTAGAAAATGTGTGAAAGCAAGGGAAATTGCTTCAAATAAATAAATTTGAAAGTTAGGAGAGATGGTGTGACTAATTAATGTATTGGGAAGGATTATCACTCAGGCATCAGAAATCTGTCAAAAGCTTTCAGCTTATGTTCAAGAAAAGCTGATTAATTTCCAATGGCATACAATTAAGTTAAGAAAAAGAAATTAGGAGGCTAAACTTGAATTTGAACTAAAGAATAATAACAGAATTTGCTAGTTAGTTGAGAGAGGTTAAGGTAAAAGTCAGGTATAAGCCAGTGTTATGAGTGAACAGAAACAATTGAATAAGTTGAGTCAATCATTTATCTGTTCCACAAATATATATTTAGTAACTACTGTGTGTCAAACACCATGCTAAGCACTGGATGCATTGACAAACATGAGAGAGAGGTCCCTTCTTTGTCAAGATTACACCATCTCTCCTAGCTTTAAAATCTAATGCAATTGTCCTTTAGAATATAAAACAAGTTGCATATGTAATTTCAAATTGTCTTGTAGCTGTGTTAAAAGTAAATAAACTTAATTCTAATAACATTTTATTTAACCAATATATCAAAAGCTCATCATTGCCAAAACCGGTTTGGCTCAGTGGATAGAGTGTCGGTCTGCGGACTGAAAGGTCCCAGGTTCGATTCCGGTCAAGGGCATGTACCTGGGTTGCGGGCAATCCCCAGAAGGAGATGTGCAGGAGGCAGCTGATCGATGTTTCTCTCTCATCGATGTTTCTAACTCTCTATCCCTCTCCCTTCCTCTCTGTAAAAAAATCAATAAAATATATTTTAAAAAAATAAAATTTTTTTTTAAAAAGCTTATCATTTCAACATTATTAATATTTTAAAAATTGTTAATAAGCTCAGCTGGCATGGTTCAGTGGTTGAGCGTCGTTGACCTATAGACCAGGAAGTCATGGTCTGATTCCCGGTCAGGGCACATGCCCAGGTTACAGGCTCCATCCCCAGTATGGGTCATGCAGGAGGCAGCTGGTCAATGCTTCTCTCTCATCATTGATGTTTTTCTCTCTCTCTCTCCCTCTCTCTTCCTCTCTGAAATAAATAAAAATATATTTTAAAAATAATAAAATAAAAATTGTTAGTAAGATATTTTATATTAAGTTTATATTTTATACTCACAGCACCTATCAATTTGGATGCTAAATTTTCATTGGAAATACTTGATCTATATTTGGACTTCATAAAGTTTACAGCTGAGTTGATTCACATACTCAAATTGTTCCAAATATACTTACGGGTAAAAGTTTCCAATAACTATCAGGTTTTTAAATTAAGTTAATTAATATTACATAAATTTAAAATTTAGTTTCTCAGTTGCACTAACCATAAATTCCAAGTCCTAAACAGCCATTATATAGCTAGTAGCTACCATATTATACAGCACAGCCCTGTAGTGAGTAATACAGACACCAGAAAGAAAATTAAAGGTAATATTACACGTACTTAGAATAATGATGCACTGTTATGAAGGAAACTGCCATAGTCATGTGATAGAAGCAGATCAAAGAAAACAAATGAAATAACTGGTTTAATAATAGGGAGTGGTGAGGACTGCAGGAATTGGAACGCATGTGTAGAGGCACTCATTAATAATTTAGATGGTGTAGGATATAGCCTTCTACAGACAAAAGGCCTCACTCAGGATGTGACATTGTCTTGGATCTGAATGAATGGGCCAGGCATGCAAAAAACTAGCTAAGCTTCCAGGCATTTCTGAAGCCAGTGCAGCTGAAGAGTAGTTAGTGGGGGTGGGGGTGGGGAGGGTGAAAAAGAAAGCAGGGACCAGATCATGGCCCATGACAAAAGAATTTTCATTTTGTTCCAAGGACAATGAGGTACCTTATGGCCAATGACAGAGTAGCTGGTTTCTAGAACTAAAGTAGTTCGTTTTTCTTAAGGTGGTGGCAGCAAATCTGTTCCTTGTAAACATAAGAGCCTAATTAAAACAGAAATGAGAGTACCCATAATTACTAAGCACAAACTCTGGCCCCAATCATTCTAAGGCCCTTTACATATATTATAACTTAATTCTCGTAACGTCTTATGAAGTTGGATATGACAACTTCACTTTCTCATTTTAGGAATCAGACTCAGAAAGGTGAAACAGCCTGTCCAAGATTTCACAGCTAATAAATAGCAGTTGAAGATTTGAACACAGATCAGTCTGATTACAAATTTCAGAGCTTTCTAAGCACATATTAATACGTAAAAGGCACGTCAGAGGTCAGTCCTGCTGGAAAGTACATTTCAGTACACAGGCAGTAAATATTCTTGATTCAATTTGTTTGTCTCTAGGGTTTTTGCTTCAGCTTCTCAAACAATGATAATGTGGGGGAAATGGAGGCAGCAAAATAATGCATCCTCTATATCTCACTAAACTATAGGCTGAAGAACAAAAACTATATTCCTTCTTTCTCTGTTTCAGGACATTGTAATAAACATGATGGTTACTCAGTAACCCATGAAAATGTTTGTCTAAAATTTGGCCCTGGAAGCCTCCCTCCCACTAAGAGTGATCTGATTAAACAGACACATGACATTCTTCTAATCCATAAAAATTATACTTTGCTCCCTACCTGTCTAGAAAAGAGAAGGCACAAGGTTTGAACCAAAGGGGCTTTCCTAAACATCTGAATATTTCTTAATTAAAAAAAAAAAATTTAAAACCCTGAAGTACAGAGATGTTTATGGTGAGGGAATTTGAGCACATTATTATATACAAAGACCTTTGAACATAATCAAGGCCAAATGGATATTATAAGCTTTACTAGAGGCCCGGTGCACGAAATTGGGGGAGGGGGAGGCCCTCAGCTCGGCCTGCCCCCTCTTGCAGTCTGGGAGCCAGGGGTTGGGGGGGGGTGTCCAATAATTGG